AAACAACAATGAGGTATCACCTCACACCTGTCAGAATGGCTGCCATCAAAAAATAATCAAACAACAAGTATTGGTAAGGGTGTGGAGAAAAGGGGACTCCAGTACACTGCTGGTGGGAATGCAGACTGGTGCAGCCACTATGGAAAACACTATGGTGTTACCTCAAAAAATTAAAAATTGAACTGCCATTTGACCCAGTGATCCCACTTCTAGGATTATACCCTAAGAAGCCTGAAACAGCAATCAGAAAGAATATATGTACCCCCATGTTCATAGCAGCACTATTTACAATTGCTAAGATCTGGAAACAGCCCAAGTGTCCATCAGTAGACGAATGGATAAAAATGCAGTGGTACATGTACACAATGGAGTACTATGCGGTTATAAGAAAGAAAGATCTCTTATCCTTTGAGATGATGTGGAGGGACCTGGAAAGTATTATCCTAAGCGAAACAAGCCAAGCAGAAAAAGACAAATACCACATGATTTCACTTATTTGTGGAATATAATTATCATAACAGTCTGAGGAATAGGGTAGACCCAGAGACGTGGAAGTAGACTGACAACCCTCAGAAGAGGGTGTGGTGAGGGGAGGGAAGAGATAAACCACTGAACTTATATGCATGTACGCATAACCAATGGACATGGACAACAAAGCTGGGGACAGGGTGGGGGGGATGGGGAGGAGGGTGTCAATGGGGTAAAAGAGGAGAAACATCTGTAACAAAAAATAAATAAATAAAAAGCAGGAGAAGAGTTTAAGGGAGTTGTGGGACAATACAAAACGTAATAACATTCACATTATAGGGGTACCAAAAGGAGAAGAATCAGAGAAAGGAATAGAGAACCTGTTTGAAGAAATAATGACAGAAAACATCCCTAAACTGGTGAAGAAAAAAGTCATACAAGTCCAGGAAACACAGAGAGTTCTAAGCAAGATGAACCCCAGAAGACCCACAGCTAGACACATTATAATAAAAATGGCAAACATTAAAGACAAAGAATCTTAAAGGAAGCAAGAGAGAAACAGAAAGTTACCTACAAGGAGCTCCCATTAGATTGGCAGCTGATTCCTCAACAGAAACACTACAGGCCAGAAGGGAGTGGCATGAAGGGTACAAAATAATGCAAGGCAAGGGTCTGAATCCAAGACTACTCTATCCAGCGAGGCTATTATTCAAAATTTAAGGAGAAATAAAGAGCTTCACAGACAAAAAAAGCTAAAGAAATTTACCATCACCTAACCAGCACTGCAAGAAATGCTGAAGGGACTGTTATAAGAAGAAGAAACAGAGAGAGAGAGAAAGAGAGAGGGAGAGAAAGGGAGGAATACAGGCATAAAATAAAAATGACAACTAATAAGTATCTATCAATAATAAACTTAAATGTAAATGGCTTAAATGTTCCAATCAAAAGACACAGAGTAGCAGATTGGATAAGAAAACATGACCCATATATATGCTGCTGACAAACAACCTACCTCACAACAAAAGACTTACATAGGATGAAAGCAAAGGGATGGAAAAAATTTTTCTAAGCAAATGGAAATAAAAAAAACAAAACTGGTGTAGCAATATTCATATCTGATGAGATAGACTTCAAAACAAGGGTCATAATAAGAGAGAAAGAAGGTCACTACATAATATTAAAAGGATCAGTCCAACAAGAAGATAGAACCATGGTAAACATATACACACCAAATATAGGAGCACCAAAATATATTTAAAAACTTCTGGAGGGCTTCAAGGGAGAGATCAATAGCAATACAATCATAGTGGGTGACTTTAACACCGCACTGACACCACTGAACAGATCTTCTAGACAAAAAATTAACAAGGAAACAGAGTCCTTAAATGACAAACTAGATAGCTGGACTTAACTGATATTTACAGAACATTTCACCCCACGCAGGGAGAAGCTCACCGATGAGCTGCTTACCGCGGTAGCCAGCTGCTTTCCATCCACAGCACAGGGACCTTCTGCTCTGTGTCTCTGCACAAGAACAGGCATATAGATCAATGGAACAGAACAGAGAATCTGGAAATAGACCCAAGACATTGTGTTTAATTAATATTTGACAAAGGTGGCAAGAGCATACAATGGAGTAAAGACAGCCTCTTTAATAAATGGTACTGGGAAAATTGGACAGCTACATGCAAAAAATGAAACCCTACCACCAACTTACACCATGCACAAGAATAAACTCAAAATGGATAAAATACTTAAATGTGACTTGTGAGTCCATAAAAATCCTAAAAGAAAATATAGGCAATAAAATATCAGACCTCACACACAGCAGAATTTTCACTGATACAACACCTAAGGCAAGAAAAACACAGGCAAAAATACATGGGACTACATCAAACCAAAAAGCTTCTGCACAGCAAAAGAAACAACCATCAAAATGGAAAGGTAGTCTACTACATGGGAGAGCATAATTGCCAATGATTCATTGGATAAGGAATTAATTTCCAAAATATGTAGAGTAGTCATACAACTGAAAAAAGGAAGACAAAAAAACAAACAAAACAAAAACCAATTAAAAAATGGACAGAGGACCTAAATAGACACCTCTCCAAAAAGGGCATACAAATGGCCAAGAGACATATGAAAAAATGCTCAACATCACTAATCATCAGAGAGATGCAAATTAAAACAATAATGAGGTATCATTTCACACCTGCCAGAATGGCCTCCATAACAAATTATCAAACAAAAGTGCTGGCGAGGATGTGGAGAAAAGGGGACTCTAGTACACTGCTGGTGGGAATGCAGACTGGTGCAGCCACTATGGAAAACAGTATGGTGTTTCCTCAAAAAATTAAAAATTGAACTGCCATTTGACCCAGTGATTCCACTTCTAGGAATATATCCTAAGAAGCCTGAAACACCCATCAGAAAGAATATATGTACCCCTATGTTCATAGCAGCACTATTTACAATTGCTAAGATCTGGAAACAGTCCAAGTGTCCATCAGTAGATGAGTGAATAAAAAAGCTGTGGTACAGCCCTGGCCGGTTTTGCTCAGTGGTTAGAGCATCGGCCTGTGGACTGGAGAGTCCTGGGTTCGGTTCCCACTAAGGGCATGTACCTTGGCCCCTGTTGGGGTTGTGTGGGTGGCAACCACTCATTGTGTCTCTCTCACATTGATGTTTCTCTCTCTTTCTCAATCTCTCCTTCTCGCTCTGTCTGAAGATAAATGCAAATATGTCCTTGGGTGAGGATTAAAAAAAAAGCCGTGGTACATATACACGATGGAACATTATGCAGCTGTAAGAAAGAAAGATCTTGTATTTTTTGAGATGACATGGAGGGACCGGAGAGCATTACGCTAAGTGAAACAAGCCAATCAGAGAAAGACAAATACCACATGATCTCACTTATTTGTGGTATATAATGAACAAAAAAAGCTGATGAACAAAACAGATCCAGAGACATAGAAAGGAGTATGGTTCAGATTGACAAACCTCAGGGGATAGGGGTGAGGGAGGGGGATGAATGAGAGAAACGAAAGAACTTATAGGCATGTATGCGTAACCAATGGACATAGACAACAATTCTTGGCAGGGGATGGGATAGGGAAGAGGGTGTCTGTGGTGGGGGATTGGGGGAAAAGGAGAAACATCTGTAACAAAAGTAAATTAATAATAATAAAAAATATCCATGTGTTCTATGGTAGGGATGTATATTATAATTTAGTTTTCCTGCTCCTTTTGATGAGCACTTATGTATCTTCCAGGTTTTCATGAGCACTAACAACACTGCAGAGACTTGCTTGTATATATTAGTTTGGGCACACGTGTGAGTATTTCTCTAGGATGGATCCCTTGAATTGGAATTGCTGGGAAGAAGACTGCACATTTGAATTTGAAAATGTCTGCCAGATTGCCCTCCAAAAATGTAGTGTCAAGTCATGCTCCTGCAACACTCTATGAGGCTGTTTCCTCAGCTGCTGCAACACTGGGCATTGTCAGTCCTTCGTTCACACTTTCTCCCGTCGGAAGGGCAGACACTGAGTCTCACTGTTGTTGAACTTGCATTTCTCTGATCACCATGGATGCTGAGGCTGCTCTTTTTATATGTTTAATGGCTACTTGGATTTCTTCTGTGAATTGTCTGTTCATATCCTTTGTCCATTTTTCTTCTATTTTTCCAATGACTAGATTGTTCTGTAGTGATGTCCGTTCTGCTCTTCAGTTCTACTGAAATGTTCCTTATAATTTAAATGTGCGTCCTTTTCATTTCCAGATATTCTTTAACTGGTTCTTTTTTAAGAATAGCCCATTCTTGTTTCACATATGATTTATTTTTGTAGTCCACTGAGGAGATTAATACACATATCTTAAAGGTTCTTTCTATTTGTTTTACAAACTTGATCTTTTCTTGTGAGTCAAGTCTGCTGTTGAGGTTAGCATCTTTCTTCCATAGTTATGATTTTCCTTAAATATTTATAAATTTTGAGTTAGAAGGTGATCTTTTGACTTTGAATTTATTGTTTATCCATCAGTGGACACAGTTCCTGTTTCCCAAGTCCAGTCTCTTTATGCTATTAAGGTTGGAGTGGATAGTTCCTCTTTTGGGGATGGGAGTATCTGATCTCTGTGGGTCTCTTTGGCCCCCCCAAGGAACTGTGTGCCTCTCCTTACTTTCTGCCCTGCCTGAGACAAAGACCTCTGATGTCTGGGGGTCCTCAACCTGTCCACTGATACTTGCGGGGCTCCTTCCCCACATTAACTTCTCTGAAAATCTCATCCTGTATATCTTTTGGTTTTCAAGTCTTCCTCAACATTTTTGCTTTGCTGATGGCCTTTCTTACTTTCACATACTTTTATAAATTTATTTATTTTTAAAGCAGATTTTTCATTCTGTGATTTCTAGAAATTTGAGTGAGGAGGAGACAGAAACATAGTCTTAGTTTTTCTATCTTGAACAGGTTTCTTTCTAGTGGATGCTTATTTCCATTTCTTGATTATAAGTGAATCTTTCTATTTCTTTTTAGGAGGAAATTATCACTGTTTCAGGGGGAGAGTTGCTGCAGGAACCCTGTGGACAGAGGGACAGCCCACCAGACTACCATCTGTTATTTGAATGACTTTTTCCCCCCTTGTCAATTGGACTTCTTTGGGCACCTTTATTTTGAACTCAAGAACTTCTCAGCTCAAATCCTTATGGCCTTCTGGAAGATTCACCACCATCCAGAGGATTACTTAGATTAGAATGTCTCAAGAGATATGAAATACATGACATATATACTGCTGGTCCCTCTACCAGTGGCCAGGACAGAAACTGCTAATAGTTGATGCAAATCTTTCATGAAGAGTTTAGATACAACCTCAGAAGATGAAGCCTATTTGTCTTGGCTGCTCTAAACTCAGCTCCTAGAGCCCGTGGATCATGCTTTTATAATCTAAAATAATTCCAGTGCCGAACTCTGAATTTAACATGTGGTGTCCATTCAATAAATGTTTGTTGAATGAATGTGCTTTTTCTGAAAGTTTTCAGCACAAACCAATGATTTCTAGTAAGTTATAGTTGTCACTGTTTATAAAGTCATGAAGATTATAGAAGAAATATTGTAAAGGATTTATGTGGAAAACGTAGATGCTGCATCTTTAATAATGTTCATCATCACCTCATTGGTATTATCATTGGAATTATGAAGGCTTCTGAGCCCCAGCCTCTGGAGCAGATGACTGATTATGCCCTGTCTTCCTCATCTGCCTCTTCTGCCACCCCTCCTCCATCTGAAATCATGTCTTGGTCCACGTTTTGCAATATTGAGGCAATGGCTTTATGTATTCTTATTGATGTGCCCCAAACCTATGGTGAAGTATAATTTAAGAATGGTTTGCAGACATCTGATACATCCTTTGCTCTCTAGGATTTGGCCCAACCCTGCAGGTTATTCAGCTGATTACCTCTGCCTTCATAGTCTTTTGATTTTTGATTTTACTGTCCACTTCATTTGAGTGTGTTCTTCCTATTAAGAAGATTCTCCCAATAACTTCTCAACAACTCCCAGGGATGGTATCTATTTGTGCACACTCATGTTTCACACTTACAGACATATACATAGAGACAGCATTGTATTTGGCGAGAGTAAAAAAATGGACTCTGTGCATGTCAATGACCTGGTTTACCTTACTTGATAGAGGTCAAGCATGTCTTGTCCTCTACTTCTCCTCTTCTGTTCCTCACATCCTCGACCACTTGTCTCACCCCAGTCACCACCACGGCAACCAGTTCTGCATGGGCGCTGCCCTTGCCCGCGGTGTCTGTCAGCTCCATGCGAGCATAAGCCAACGGTACCACGCCTCAGGCCGCGCTCTGGCTTCTCTTCTGCTGCTGCTGTGGAGGCAGCAGCGCGCAGCCAGGAAGAGCTGGGAAGTGAACTCCCCAGGCGGTAAACTTTGTCAGAGGGAGTCAGTGGCTGATAAACCAATTCTTCTCCCTTCTCTTCCTGGAGGGACTTTTCTGAAAGGCAGTCGTTAACATGGCCTCTTGCAAGACAGTCCTGCAAGATGAAGCAACTAGTCATAAAGAAACCAGGTGGTGATCAGATCAGTGTCATACTCTCCTGTTTGTTCTTCCTCCTTCTCTGCCTCACGCCCCCTTTCTCTTCCCCCTGCTCCCTGGGGATTGTACTTACCATAGGCTCTGCCTTTTGGGGAAGGCAGGGTAAGGACCCATCATAATATCAATTTTGCAATCTGCATCCATGGCTTCCCTTCTATCTGCCTGTCTCAGGCCCCTGAATGGATAAAATGCAGAGATGGATGGAATCTGTTTTCTGAACCCTAAAGTGCTTGAAAACCATAACTGATATTATTAAAATTACCTTCTTTCTATGGGACTCAGAGAAACTGAATTTTAGCTTTGGCTGTGCTCCTTACCCACTATCTGACTTTGTTCAAGTCATTTAACCACACTAAAGCCCAGTAGAACTGAGAAGAGAATGATCTGTGTGGCCATCACTAAGTTTTTTGGCAGATCAGTTCAATGGTAAGTATGAAATCTGTCCAAGTGAAAGGTGTTGCTAATAGCAACCACAATAACAGCAACCATTATTTCATGCTTAACAGTGATGTGTCAAGGGGATAGGATATGATGATTTCCAGGTGTTAGAAGAAAGTTTTAATTTCAAGAAATAGCAGCAGCTTTGAAAGGGGACCAAGCTGGGTTGGGAACCTGAATCCTAATTGCTGTCACCCTAATCAACTTGAGAGACAACAACTGAGGTGTCCATGACTGACATCTGTTTCATTTTATTTGGGGTCTACACTTTCTGTATTCTCATATATTTTAGGTTGTACCTGTCCTTAAAATAAATTCCTTGTAAGTTGCCCTGCAAATGAAATTACTGTCTGGAAAACTGCAATTTCATCTTGAAAATTTTAGTATGATAATAAATGTCAGGATTCTCAAATAAAGAAATTGCCTTTTTTTCCCTGAGCCCTGCAAACATAATAAAAAACAGCCAGCTACAAGACTCAGCAGAGGGAACATTTACAATCTATAACTAGAAAGAGAAGTTGTAAAGAACACTACACAAGTTAATGGAAGATAAATTTCAAGGGATGAAAGTGGAACTTGGGTATAGTTCAGGGAGATCCCTGTGTGGCGGAGATGGGGAGCGGTGCTGTTGGGAGTGGGGGGATATCTCAGGAGCATGGGATAAAAGAGGCCCCTGAGAGTGAACCATTAGAAAAGAGACCTGGATAGCCCTGGCCAGTTTTCTCAGTGGTTAGAGCATTGGCCTGCGGTCCAGAGAGACCTGGGTTTGGTTTCCGCTAAGGGCACGTACCTCGGTTGCAGTTTGTCCCTGGCCCTGGTTGGGTCCTGCAGGTGGCAGCCACTCGATGTGTCCCTTTCACGTTGATGTTTCTCTCTCTCTCTCTTCTTGTCCCTCCCCCCCACTCTATCTGAACAAAAAAATGGAAAAATGTCCTTGGATGAGGATTAAAAAAAAAAGAAAAGAGACCTGGATATGAAACCTGGGTGCCTGGGGACTGTGTCCCCTTTTGTACCCTTGAACACTTCATTATCCTCAGTATTAAATCTGAAGACAGAAAGACCTTTGTTCTGTGACCCCAATTTTCTGGGCCAGTTTATTCTGTGAAATGGGGTAAGCAGTGTCCGTCTCAGAGGGCGCTATGAAAATAACAATGTGAGATTTTTGTAATAGTGATAACAAAGGTTACTTTAGCTCTGTGTGTGTGTGTGTGTGTGTGTAAGTCTCACAACTATGCTGAAGGAGACAATGCTGTTATGTCCAGCTTGCACATGGGGAAACTGAGGCATGGGGAAGTTCAGAACTTTCCCGGGGCCGCTTCTCTGGGAAGTTGTATGATATCACTGGAACTCCTCCATCTTAAGCCAGTGTTTCTCAAAATGGGATGTGCAGATCAAACATGAGGCGATGTTCTTAAAACACAGATCTCCTTCGGGGGATCCAGGGTGGGGGTGAAGTTCTGTATTTCCAGCAAGCCCCTGGGCACTGCCGAGGCTGCTGGACTGTCGGCCAGCCTGGGAGGAGCCAGCCTGGAGGGCAGGGCTTGGCAAATGGTAGCGGTGGGCTGCCTGTGTTTCCGAGACAAGAATGACTTTTACGTTTTCAAATGATTAGAGAGACTAAAAAGAAGAAGAATATTTTATGACCTGTGAAAATAACATTATTTTCAAATTTCAGTGTTCACAGATAAAGTTTTATTGGAATATACCCATGCTCATCTGTTTATGTAGTATCTTTGTCTACAAACTGTAAAGTCTGAAATATTTATTATCTGTCCTTTTACAGAAAAGATTTGCTGACTCCAGCTTTAAATTATGGTGAATAAATTAGAAATTATTTTGCTTTCTTTCTCTGCTTTTAAAACAAAATGGAGTCTTAGGAAAGATCCTAGCACCACCATTTCCACTTTAGAGACACCTAAGTAAATGTGTTCCATTTCCTAGAAGAGCTTACATTTTAAATTTGCGTTCATCTCATCTCTAGTAACCAAAAAGGAGGCTTGTTTCTTTGTCAAAGGGTTTTAACCAAATGTAAGCGAGTACTATCACAGATGTGGGCATGTGGGCATAGAATCTTTTGCTATCTGGAATCTGTCATACTTTTTTATACTTAACTGTTATATATCTGTTGCCCTTCAGCCTGTGAGGTCCTGGAGGTCAGACGATGCCATGTTCACCTCTGTGTTTTATGGGCCTGGAACAGACAATGTTGTTGAATTGCATTTGCTACAGATGCAGGACAAATGGACTGTGCAGATTTTGAAGATCCACTTTAACCTTCGGTACACTTTAACCTTTTGCTGCGAAAAACTAAGGCTGACTTCACTACTTTCCATTGTTATGGGGAATAAACAAATGAATAAATACATGAATGAGACTGAACAAATCAGACAACTGTACTAACAGTGAGTCTGAGCTGGGGGATCTGAGACTTGAAACAGCAGACACATTTTGGCAAAACCGTCGATGACTAGTGAAACAGAGACAGAGGTCCCCCTTATCCGCAGTTTTGCTTTCTGCAGTTTCAGTGACTCGTGGCCAACTATAGTAAAACTGCAAAGAGTAAGTAAACATTTCAGAAGAAAACAACTCATGCGTTTTAAATGGCGAGCCGGTTGGAGCTGTATGATAAAATCCCTCCTGCCCAGGACGAGACCCGCCCGCTGCACACACTCCCTGCCCGGCAGCCGCACGGCAGCCACTGGCTGTCATTTCCACGCTGTGTGGGATGCAGTGCTGTGTCCAGGTAACCCTTGTTTTACTTAATAATGCCACATTCACATAACTTTCATTACAGTGTATGGTTATAATTGTTCTCTTTTATTATTAGGTATTGTTGTTAATCTCTTACTCTGCCTAATTTACAAATTAAGCATTATCATGCGTATGTACATATAGGAAAAACATTGTGTATATAAGGTTCGATACTATTTGTGGTTTCTGGCATCCCTGGGGGGTCTTGGAACGTGTCCATTGAGAATAACAGGAACTACTGTAAACTGAACTAAGCCACAGCCTGCAAGAGATTTTTGTCCAAGCAAAAATCCTTTAATCAGCAATGCAGATCCATATATTTT